GAGAGAGAGAGAGAGAGAGCATGGTTGTATTTTCTATGATGGAGAAAGAGAGAGAGAGAGAGAGAAAGAGGACAGACAGACAGACAGACAGACAAACAGACAGACAGAGCACCTACCTCATGAACAACGCCATCCTTCTCTATGGGCTGAGCTTTCCCAAAACAAGCAAACATTTCGCTCTCTTTCGAGTTGAACAAATCTAATGCACAAAGTTTTTTGTTTTTTTAAAATTAAACGTTTATAACTCCTTCGCTCAAAAGTTCTGTAGCCTATACGTAGAATCTTTAAAATTCCATTGAGTCAAAGACAGAATCCTGGAAAGTCTTACTGTATAACAAAGAAGCAACCGTCGCGCACACATGAACTAGAAAACACACTGGCACTGTATCGATAAAGTTGAAAAAAATCAAAATTCACAAACGCTGGAACAGTGTAGATCTATGCGTAGGCCTACTGAGAGCTGGCACAGAAATATTTATGAAAAAAAGACAAATTTTACAAGCGCAAAAAAACGGTCAAACATCGTATCGCAAAACGCGCTATAGTACAACAGTGAACGAAATCAAATATCACATTTTCACCTCTAATAGTAATACAGTAATACATAATAATAGCATAGTTATAGACTAGTTCAACCAATGACGACCGGCAGGCTCCCGTGACCCCGCCTTCTTGCCCTTATAAGGCGATAGAATTGAACAAAGAAGCTCGGGGAGACGCGTGGGTGGGTGGGTGGTAGGAGTCGCGCGTGGACGGCTGCACATTGACAAACATCAAAGGCCGAGCCGAGGTGTCACCGACAGCGACAGGTAAACCCGCGAAAGTGGCAGAGGAGTGTGGTGGCGACAAGTCGACAGGTCATGACGTAACGATAACGATCTGAGAGAATTTACGTTACGCTTACTTAGCCGCCCACGATGACCAAAGTTATTTGGAAAATTATTACTATCGTTAATTATTGCTCTCGTAGTTCATATCGCTAAATCTTTCTGACTCTAAATTAATTTACATTACCCC